TTTTTTTTTTTTAATTGAATAATGTGAAATCTGTCCGTGAAAACCTATAATTGGCTCTCTGGTGTTATTATGTTATCTGTTTGTTTCCTATGTGTAGCTGTTGGTTTTCCAATCCATAAATAAATAAATAAATAAATAAATAAATATTTTTGGCTTCTCTATCGACTGTAGATCACGCAACAAGCATAGTTTAAAAAAAAATAAATGTACATACAGTTTTAACTTTTCTACTATTTTATTATATGTATAGATTGTGATGGACTTAAATACCTTATGTAGGTTTATTAGCATATTAAATATCTAAATAATAGCTACAGTTTATGCTCTTATTTTGTTGATAATATTATTACATGATTCCACTATAAATGTGCGTATTCGTTGCCAAACTGTCCAACAATAAGAATACAATACAATTACATACTTCAGTAGGTATTTGTAACTTACTTCAGGCATAGCCACCTTCTTTTTGTAAGCTCTAAATATTTGGCGAGACATATTCTTGTAAACTAAATGTATAAAATCAAAAATAGTGTTGTAAAAGTAAATATTATCAAAAAAAATGTGTAAATAAAAAATAGCAAGTAAATAATAATATAAATGTCAAAACTGAAACATTTTTCAAAGATGTAAACATATTAGCCACAGAGAATGTTAACTTGTACCTATTAGATACCCATAAACTTTTAAGGAGTTTTTCCTTCTAGAAACTTGATAAGGTGTAAAGTTCTGAAACAAAATTTATAGTACATGAATAATATCAATCTATATAAATAAAAATGCTCTGCCTCGTTGGCCGAGTGGTCGCGAGTGCGACTGACGGGCAAGGGGTCTCGGGTTCGATTCCCGGGTCGGGCAAAGTATTACTGGGTTTTTAAAAAATTCTCAGTGGTAGCACGGAGTCTGGAAATGTGCCCGGTATATGGCAATAGGCTCATCCCCTATTACATGGGACTCATAACATAAATAGTGAAAAGTGGGTGTTACTTCTGTGTGCACCTCTGTCTTCGGGGATAAAAGGCGTGATGTTATGTTATGTTATGTATGTTATAAATAAAAATGAATTTCCGTTAGTTAATCTTGCTAAAACTCGAGAACAGCTGAATCGTTTTGGCTAATTTTGGTCTTGAAATGTTCGTGGAAGTCCAGGGAAAGCGGGCGAGGTCATGTATAAAAGTTTAACATAAAAATGTACTCCCACGTCCACCTAATGCCACAATATATACCACAGAAATGTTTATCGCGGTTAGCAGTTATAGTTGTGACTCCTCTAGTGTTGCTGGTGTCCATGGGCGACGCTGATCGCTTATCATAAAGTGATCCGTCTGCTCATTTGCCTCCTATTCCATAAATAACAATAAATTGGCACATTGACACAAGTAGCTAAGTAGGTAGCTATGTAGCAAAGCCGCATTTAGTGTGTTTGCTAGTAATAAGTCAAATATGAGCACATTACACATGAGTATAAACTTGCGACTAGCTCTCGCATACAGGCTCCTTGGATTACTTCTCTTTGTGAAGACGTTAATAAGAGATTTTGATATTAATACTTAGGAGCCTGGCTTTAGAGTTTAGTTTACTAGAGCAGATTTTAGCTCAAAAGCAACTGAAGTTGCGATGGACGCAGGGAATTTCTTATTAGAATTTTAAACCGAGCGTTGTAATAACAAAATATTTTGATACAAAAACTTTTTGGTTTATAAGGTAATGATAGTCCACTACTCTCATCGTTTGCTGCATGAACGTAACCACAAAATGTTGATTCAATTTTTATGTAATATTTAATACACTTTCCACCGATTGCTCCTATTAAATACCAGGACTGCTCTACTTAAAAAAGTTCAATTCTCAGAAAAAGCAGAAAGAAGTGTAAATATGGTAAACATTGTTTAGGAATGTAGACGTAACTTTCTTTTTGGTCAACCTAACGAATATAATATTTATTCTTATACACAACAAATGTGTACAAAGACGGCCTTAGCGCCTTAGGCACTGTCTGTAGTCGACCTTTAAGTGAGGTATAGACGATTTAAGACTACTATTATAAATTTTGATCTGTCTGAGAATCGCGTGTTCTTTGATAAATAACCCTTTACATAGGTGCTTTAGGCTATTCATCGAAAATAGGAATAGAAATATTACAATATTTCATAAGTAGGTACTGTGTGGAGACTAAAACGGGTAAAATAATAATAAATAACTAATTAAATTTACAAATCTTTTGTTCAGCTACTTAATAATACTTCAGAAGCAGGCAAGCTTCTATTAAACGTACTCTTAATTAGTTCAAAGTAATAAAATCAATTAAATAAGTCGATAAGCCTTTGGGAAGGGAGGTTAATTAAAGCGAGATCGATGGCTGCGACAGGATTAAGAAAATGAGGCATTATTTTATGATATTGGTATTTGGTTTCGTAGTAATCATTAATATTAACTCGTCGAGTACCGTCATTATAGACACAATTATAGAACAATAGGTTGCGGTCACCGGTGACCGCTTGGTGTTTGACAGTTTAAGTAGGTATTTTTTCACATTCCGATAATAATGATATTATTAAACACGTGTGTAGAAATAATAGCTGAAAAATGTGAAAAATCATACATATTAATATTTTTACTTTAAAAAAACCTGTGTAAAGTTTCAGAAGAACATTGATGATAAAAATAATTTGGTTTATTGTTGGTTTTATTGCTTTACCTAAACTGCACTTACAGCCTATTGGCAGACATTTGTACATTTGAAATAAAACCATGAATAAGGTTATGAATGAAACACTGAGCATTTTTTTGTACTTACTATAGCGTTTTATTGTTCTTTAGGCACAACAATTAATGGTACAGACTTATTGCTACACAGAGATCGTCGTTTTGTAAGTTCTATGAATTGTTTAATTTGGTCTATGTCGCTTTTCATTTCACGTAATTCGTTAAATATCTGGTTCAGTGTCGTGCTGTCATTCGCGGATTGTTTATCTGCAATACCTTTGATAGTGGATGATATATCATCCAGTTTCATTTGAAACACCATTGATCCTAGGTGTTCGTCAGATTGCTTCTTCTGTAACTGAACCCGTTCAAAAGTGGCTTCTCTCAACCGAGTGGGCAGACGGTTACGATTGTAGCACGTAGCTTTACGTGGTCGCAAAACGATAACGCTCTCCAACCTTATGTTGTTTTTTAATTTATTGTACAGGCGTTTCGGTAGTATACTTTCAAGTAATTTATTACAAACGATATCTTCAAGCGATGTTATAAATTCCGCTTGCTTCTCCAACCGTTTAATACTACCAATAATTTCTAAATTATTGACGTCGTTAACTGCCACTCCAACTATCAAATTCATGAGAACTATTGAAACTAGAATCAGAAACGTAATAAAGATCAAACGTGACATGAACAGTGATCCTGATGCTTTTAAGATGCTATCCTTGCTCAAGGAGTCATTATAATCAAATTCGGATGTCATCATGACCAACGTTGTGACGAAAGCGCCCCAGGGCCCTTCGAACGGAGGCTTGGCATGGAAATGTATCATGAAGCTTACCGAGAAACCAAATACCAGGAAAACGAATGATAGTAAAATCTGAAAAAAAAACAAGGAATTGTAAATATAGAATGCTACTGACACAATAAAAAATTTTTTTTATTGTGTCAGTAGCATCAATTTAATCCAAAAACACTCACCTTTAAGACTTTACTTGCAACTTTACCAAACATCAAAACATAGTATCCCCAGTCAGGGAATCTAGAGAGTAAGAACATCATTTCGAACCAGGAAAAAAGCAGAGCAAAGGTGGCGACAAGCCGCGCCCATTCTGAACTACTCTTGGTTTCCCATGACACAATTCGAGGTAAGAAAACCGCCAGCGTTATATATCCGATTTTCAACCATGTCTCCCAACAAATAAGGTATCTCTTACTTTTCATTTTGACAAATACTATTTCCTGGTGGCAAAATGAAAAATATTATTATGAGTATTATTGTGTCTCTCAAGTCATAAAGTACTTTTGATTGTTATCATACTTACTTGAATTACAATCATGCATATGGTCAAATAAATGATATGTATCCAAACGTTACTACGGAAAAATATTGGAACAGTTTCTTCTTTATCTTTGTAATAAAAAATAGAAAGAGCATAAATATTGAGAGATAACACAAAACAGGCGTGTAATATCAAGATACTGTAAAAGAATGATAGCAAAGATTGCCATTTCAGGAAAAGAAATGTTTGCACCAAAGGATGGAGCAGTAGTCTATGCTGGTCGTATCTATTTCCAGTGTTTATCAAGGCATTGATAACTCTCATTTGTTTCATGTCAGATTCTCTCGGAATTAACACTCTGTAGTCGACTGTAACTTCACAATTCGCTTCTTCGAGACTCCTTCCTTGGCTTGATATGTAAGAGTCAAATATTTCTTGTATGAATTCAGTTGGTTTCGACAAGTTATTTATTAATATATCAATAGGAGCTAGTTTTAATTTCGGTTGTCTACCTCTCCCGACATCTGAGAGGTCAGCTCCCTTGCGGAGAAGTAATACGATCATTTCTCTGTTTCCATTACTGCAAGCCTCGTGTAACGGTGTTCGTCCAGCAGAATCAGGGCAATGGACGGTGTTACTATCATGTTTTATAATTATATCTGCTATTTCGCAATAATTTTTTCTTGCTGCTATATGCAGAAGTGAATGCCATTGAAGAACGTCTTTACCAATACAATCATTGCATGGCACATAAATATCTACTTGTGCACCTTTGGAAATTAGTAGTTCTGCGCATACAGGGTGATTGTTTTTAACTGCATAAAATAATGGGGGGCCTTGATTATCAGACTTGTTAACCAATCTGACAGTAACATGAGGATTATACTCAAGTAAATATTCCAATATATCTTGATTGCCTTGTTCAGCTGCTATGTGGAAAATATTGGTTTTCACAGCAGTTACGAGCCCTACGTCAGAACCGGAGGAAATAAGTAATTTTAAAACGTCTAATTGGCTATGACTGACCGCTTTAAAAAGAGCTGTCTCTCCTTTTTCGTTACGGAAGTCAAGAGTGTTAGTTAATTTTGCAATAGTTATTATCTGTCGTAGAATATCAATGTTGCCCATTTGCGCCGCTATATGAATAGGTGATTCACCATTTGCCTGAAAGAGAATAAAAATTTTAGGAACCTATTAATTTACATTGGTAAATCGTTTATTTCAATAAAAAACTTAAATTACAACTATTACTTAAGTAAAATTAAAACTAAATATTACTAAATTAAATATATACAACTTAAGATTAAAATTAATTATAGGAAAAACAAACTATTTATAAAGCAACGAAAAACTCGTCCGCATCGACGTCAGTGGGGAAAGTACCCAGAAGGCTGGCATCATTGCCACGTTGTAAGGCAATGCTTAACCTCTGACCGAGAAAAAGACCAGAGCCCTCTGGTCACGAGATGTGTCGACCAGGCGTTTCGAAATGTTTTTGAACAATTGTTAAATTGTAGTTATACCTCTATTATTTTTGGAAATTACCTTCATGGTAATGCTTGCTCTTGCTCCGAGAGCGATGCACACGCCTTGTGTCCAGCCTTCCTTGATTGCTGCACACAGTACAGTGAAACCTTGTTTATTCTTCACGTCTATTGTTGCCAAATACGGATCTTCATTATTGTATTTAAAATCTGCCAGCAACTGGAAATCAGTTACGTTCATTAGTTTTTAAGATTTCAGTATATACATATTTTTTAGCTAAGTGATAAAGCCCTTTAAATAAATAAAAAATATTCTACCTGCAACAGATCCTTGTTTCGTTTCTTAACGCAGATATGCATAGGGGTGGCGCCCTCACTATTCCAACTGGTGGCAGAGGCTCCACTCAGAAGCAATTGCTCAACAGAACCCTCACTTTCAAGCTCCACTGCTGTATGCAACGGAGTGTCAATAGAGTTCAAACTAGGACTGTACCTACATTTTTGAATTTTTTTGCCAGAAGTCAGAAGCAGATTTATCGTTGTTTTGAAACTGAAAAGAAAATTCCTTAGTATATTGATGGTTCCAAGATTGACGAAGAAGATGTTACATTGCGCGAAAACATTTTACTAGCCCTTATAATTGGGCTCGCTGCCATTGCAGCGGTAAGTCCCCTCTTTGAGTAGTGGCTTGAGAGACGCTATGGCGTCCTCACCTACCGCCTGACGCAGGTTCTCACCGGACATGGAAGTTTCAAGAGGTACCTGTGTCTGATGGGGCGGGAAGACACGCCCGGGTGTCATCACTGCGAGGACCGCCCTGAGTACACACACGGTAGAACACACTGTAGCGGGATGCCCTGCGTGGGTTGAGCATCGCCGTGCCCTCAGGGAAGTGATCGTCGATGGCGACCTCTCGCGTCCGGGCCTAGTGCAGGCCATGATGCGGAGCGAGGGGGACTGGGATGCAGTCTCCTCCTTTTGCGAAGCTGTTATGCTAGCTAAGGAGGAGGCGGGACGCGTGAGGCAGCGAAGCGCTGCCTCCTCGCAACACAGCCATCGCGAAGGACACACCGGACGTCGGGGATCGCGGGACGATCTCCGGCCACCGTAAGCGCGGGCCTGCGGGCGGCGAGCATGGGTGGCTCCCTGTCCGACCAGAAACAGACTCGAACGGACGGCGCGTCGCGTTCCGCGCGCGCCTTAAAAGAGCCATCAGACCACCACAGATGGGGCCCAACTGGGCCGATGCCGATTCGGAGTCGCGGAGAACCTAACGGGTAACCGGGGCTCCGGCTCGACGTGCAGGAGAAGAAACGGGGTGGTTTTTAGTCAGTAAGAGTCTGACACTCCCTCCCGCCTCACCCAGGCGGGAGCAGTCATTCGATGATTTTCCCCCTTAAAAAAGCCCTTATAATAACTACGAATAACTAAGCTTTCTAAAAGCGTTACTTACTCCTTTTCTTCAATCTTGTACCCCATGTAGTGGGCATAGCCAACAACATCAAGTGGAGTCCTATAAAATTGGTCTTGAGCATTTATGTCAGCGCCCGCAGCAATCAAAAGTTCTACGCAATGATGCTGTGCGCGTGCACAAGCAGCGTGTAACGCTGTCCATCCATAGCACCATCCATGTTTATACTTTTCGTTCTGGAATGGCGGTAACTGCAACACACACAGTATTGTTTCCCCCTTTGATTGATTGAGTCACTAAGTTCAGAAGGAAAATAATGTACTATGTTATTTTGTAGGTATTTTTAGTACTGCTGTACTCGTGGTTAGTCAGTATTACCTCTTTAGATATTATAAATGAATATTAGACGTCCTATTTACCATGTCTTTGATATTCCTGCAATTGTGTTCCATTCCATCGCTCCAGTCTACTTGAAGTTTAACCTCTTCGTTCGATTTGCACGTCATGTTCGTGAGCGCATGTACTGGTGTACTGTGATATTTTACTTCTCCAACTATTTGCGATGACAAAGGAACACATTCCACAATGCGTCTCCTTAGGCCTAAAATAGGTTTGAACATGGATATCAGTATCATTGATAGCCTTTAAAAAGGCTATTATAATAAGTGTTCATCTAACTCTACCTTCTGGGAAGTTGAGCATTAAAGCAATCTGTTTGACGTTTCCTTCCCAAGCGGCAAAGTGCAGGGGCGTTCTGCCTTCCTTATCGGCTCTATACACATCAGCTCCGTGTTTGATAAGTAACTCCAAGACGTCAGTATTTTGCATTGCTGCGAGGTGGCACACGGACACGTGGTTCAGCCGGCAAGTTGCATTGGGACTGGCTCCCATTGCCATCATCCTAAAAAGACAAAGGCAGTTTTATCTTATGTACCCTTCTAGCCATTGAATCCACGTGAATCCACGCATAACCACACATCATACACTACTTTTTGGCAGTTGTTTGAAGCAATTTTTATCAAGTTTTCTCTTACCTGCTCATAAACGCCATTTCTCCACCGGCCATCGACTCGATAAGTCTTGTGTTCAATCTGGTCACATGTGTGGCACTTTGCCTCATCGTGAGAGTACATTCAAGTATTTCCAGGGAATTCTTAGTCAAGTTTTTGACGAGGGCTGTTGGGAAAAATGGTTTTAAAGTCGCACCTGATTCGCTAGTTGATGGTGTAGCCGCCCTGAAAATGTGATAAGATTTGAATGATCAACACTTTATTTTATGAACGAGTGTTTGATGGTGTTCATTTTCCTTAGCGGGTTTGGGAGGGTAAGTGGCAGTCACTTCATGCAAAATACTGAGATTTTGAAATCTAGTTGAGATTTATGGTGCCAGTTGTATCTAAGCATAGATTGCCATTAGGCAACGTGTCGCGGTTTCGATTCCCACAAGGAACAACTCCTGTTGTGATCCACACATTCTTGTTCCGGGTTTGAGTATCATGTGTATGTGAATTTGTATGTCTGTAAACCAACCCACGATACAGGAGAAAATCCTAATGTGGAGTAACGTTAAAAAAACAAAGAAGGTTTAATTAAAAATATGTTTTTTCGTCTCAGCTTCAGCGAGTCTCCACAATAGGTTTAATGTTACAAAGTATTTATGACTAAATGTTTACATACGGTTTTTCCGTACTCTTCCTGTTATCCAGACTCCTCGACTTCCGTTGTCGATGGATCTTCTCTTGCCGATGCTCCACTATGTCAGATATATTGCTACTGTTATCAGTTACAACGCTATCATCTATAAAAATTCAAAACATAATTAGTATACTTTAAAGTTATCTGTACGAACGAACTTTCTAAGTACTAGGTATTATAATATTTTAAGGAATAAAGTGCTGTCTGTTGATTTTATAACCTTTTTAATCAATATAAACATATATTAATAATAATAGATTTGGGTCTCGATAAACATTGTTACATTTAAATTCAAGTTGTCTAAAGGGTCTCTGCGCAGTTGACTTCAGCCCATCGTACGCCTCCCAAATGACCGGGACCCCGTGGTCCCGTCATTGGTAAATACAACATTATTATTGTTTTATTAAAATAACATTTTAATAAATATTCATTTCTTAAAAACTACAGTTACAGAAAATTGACGTGAAACAACACTTGCGTTGTGTTTCGTCGCGTGAATGAGTTTACTGAAGGCCCAATTACCCGCCTCCCCAATCTCCCAAATCCCTGAATCCTCAACAATCCTCAAATGATTAATTCCAAAAAGGCTGATGTTTCGGATCTCCATGGGTGGCGCTGATTGCTTACCATCAGGTGATCCGAAGGCTCAAGCACCGGCTTACCTCATAAAAAGAAAACAAAAAGGCACGTACCTGAATCACGGGGCAGGTGTAATGAAGCAGATTTGGCATCATCACGGTGGCTATTCTTAAATCGAATCATAATTAAACTGATTTACATAGTCGTACATTACTTACTCCTACAAATAGCAATTAAAACTGAATCTATATGACATTGTTATATATTTTATTTATTTTCCTTATTCCTCGTAAGTATACGGAGACAAATCCTATTAGGTATATAAAAAAACGGTGACTGACAGACGGACAGCATAGAATTTAAGTAAAAAAAATTGTCTTCCTTAAGGCTTGAGTAATTTATTGGTCACTTAAATTTTATGTAAAATAAAATTCATTATCATGATCATGAGCCTGTTCCCGTCCACTGCTCGGCATAGGCCCCTCAATGATACGCCATTGAGCTCGATCTTCAGCTCCACACATGTAACCACTTCCAGTGAACGAACACTCCACCTAACTGGAGTATAATTCACTCTAGAATAAACATCGTGGTAGAATAGTCCGATTTATTCACACCTTATAATTTATTGTTTCATAATTTGAACTCGTAATTTGTAACGATTCCTTTCTCAATAAAGTAAAAAACAATTTAACTCTGCAAGAAGAAAACCGCAATATAAATCGCAGGCGAAGCAAGAGGCAAGAACTAGTGATATAATGTAGATGTGATTCACAGTGTGTTTTCGCAAATGAGTAATTAAGGATATTTTCTATCTATGCGTAAAACAATGTATGTAATACTAGCTGTTGCCCGTGACTTTGTCCGCGTAGCATATGAATTTTATAATATTTTTTGGTATCAATTAAAAAAAAAGTCTTGCAAAGTCGGTGCAGCCATTCCAGAGATTAGCCAGTACAAACAGATAGAGAGACAGACAAAAATTGTGAAAAAATATTATTTTGGTATGCGTATCGTATGTATATTCATATGCGTGTAGTAAAAAGCAGTTATTTTGATGTTACAAACAGACACGCCAATTTTATTTATCTGTATAGATTATTATTTCATCGACCTAGTAAATATTATGTAAAACTACCTAACACAGCTACTGATTTTACGGACATCGCTGTCGAATAGGTATTTAATTTACTGAAATAATATATAATTATCTATGAAATGCCTATTTAATTAATTTATGGGTTTTTCAGTTTTAATAGAAGTTAGTATGAACAATCTAGAATTGTTCTTAGTTCATAATACATTAGGTTATGGGACATATCAATATCCACCACCGTTGTTGAAACAAGTGGGTAATACCCAGTTTTTAGTCATAACACAACATCACGTTTTATCCCCGAAGGGGTAGGCAGAGGTGCACATTTTGGGACTTATTACCAATGAACCGTGTCACACCCACTTTTCACTATTTTATGTTATGAGTCCCAGGGAAGAGCCTATTGCCATATACTGGGCACAATTCCAGACTCCGTGCTACTACTGAGATTTTTTTTTAAAACCCAGTATCTAATACTTTGCCCGACCAGGGAATCGAACCCGAGACTCCTTGCTCGGCAGTCGCACTTGCGACCACTCGGCCAACTAGGCATTCTTTAATCATACATTCAACTAATATTATTTTTTAAAGTAAATTTTTATTCCACCTTCTTTTCCTAGCTGCTTGTATTCGATTTGGGGTTGGTACTTGGCTGTATGTCAGTATTTTACGTGGAGCGACTAATGTCTGCAACAACCACAACCCAGGCTGATACCATATAATTCGTTACATCTATTATTAGAGGTCAAGAGGTCAAGAGGTCAAAGCATTTATTTCAATTAAACCATAGTTTGGTACTTTTGAAACGTCAACAAATACAAAATAAATAATAGTCTGTCAGTCAGTCCGTCCGTCAGTGAAATTAGGTGAAGCTAGGTGCTCATTCCAAAACGTAGATTCGAATGGAGAAGAACGAGCAAGAAACTCCATTCGTTACTCTTTTAAAAAAGTATGTTCTACAATGTCTCTGATACATATTTCAATACTGTACGCATATGTAAGAACAATGCAAAGACACGCTTGACGCATTATACTAATAACTTACTAAAATAAAAATCTTAAGTCTAACATGGACTGACCACCATATTACATTTGTGCTGTGTATAGGTATACAGAGGGTGTCCAGTAAATAGTGCACCATACTCTGATGGGAGATAGTTAGGATCAATACCTACCTAAAAATCCAATAGTCAGCGACAATGTACGGTTTGAAAGTGATATTACATTCGCAAATATCGAGAACATATAGGACAGCAAAAAATAAATATAGCGTACAAGGCGATGGGCTCGCTGCCATTGCAGCGGTAAGTCCCCTTGAGGAGTGGCTTGAGAGACGCTACGGCGTCCTCACCTACCGCCTGACGCAGGTCCTCACCGGACATGGAAGTTTCGGGAGGTACCTGTGTCTGATGGGGCGGGAGGAAACGCCCGGGTGTCATCACTGCGAGGACCGCCCTGAGGACACGGTGGAACATACAGTGGGAGAATGCCCTGCGTGGGCTGAGCACCGCCGTGCCCTCAGGGAAGTGATCGGCGATGGCGACCTCTCGCGTTCGGGCCTAGTGCAGGCCATGATGCGGAGCGAGGGGGACTGAGATGCCGTCATTTGCGAAGCAGTCATGCTAGCTAAGAAGGAGGCGGGACGTGTGAGGCAGCGAAGCGCTGCCTCCTCGCAACCCAGCCATTGCGAAGGACACACCGGGCGTTGGGGATCGCGGGACGATCTCCGGCCACCGTAAGCGCGGGACTGCGGACGGCGAGCATGGGTCGCTCCCCGTCCGACCAGAAACCGACCCGAGCGTACGGCGCGTCGCGTTCCGCGCGCGCCTCAAAGAGCCATCAGACCACCACAGACGGAGCCCAATAGGGCTGTTGCCGATTCGGAGTCGCGGAGAACCTAACGGGTAACCGGGGCTCCGGGTCGACGTGCAGGAGAAGGAACGGGGTGGCCGTTCCTTCTCCTGTACGTAACGTTCACGTTTTTAGTCAGTAAGAGTCTGACATTCCCTTCCGGCTCACCCAGGCGGGAGCAGTCATTCGACGATTTTCCCCCTTTAAAAAAAATAAAATAAAAAAAAGCGTACAAGGCGATCTCTTACAGACAACCTTTGGATGGAGCTGTATTAGGAGTCAGTCAGTCAGTCAGTTAGTTAGTCAGATCTTAGTGTAATGGCCCTACGATATCCTAGACTAAGAAATTACTCATTTTCACTTTGATGAGTAAGTAATTACTTAGTCTGGTTACTTGAATTTGTACCTACATCCACGAAAGGTTGATTTCTGACTAATTCCTAAACTGATAATTTCTTATTGTGAGGAAAAACCATTATTCAGTAATTGCGGTAATAATAAATAATTATAAAATTTTGTTCCATTTACTTAGTTATGTTGTGAAGATTCGTCATAATATGTCGTATTTGTGGTTAATTTAAACATACATTTAAATTAATTACAAAAGTCTTGCTATAAGAAGAAGGAGAACGATTTTTGCCTTCGGCTTTATTTGCGTCACGGAAATAATGGATTAAATAAGCTCTCTCGTTTGTCTATAAAGTACGTGGATGACCGAGCTTTGTTCGATGTGTTTTAAGTAAATTTTTGGAAAAAATAAATAACATTTGGGCCGAAGTTCGAACTCGAATGTCCTGCGTAGCACGCGTCCGCTCTCCCGACTAAGCTATTTTAGTTTAATATGTAATGGCGAAATTTAAATTCGTACCCTAATAAGGGGTATTCAATGAAAACAGGGACAATACGACATTTCCTGATAATGTAACCTAGCTAGATCGATTTATCGCCCCCAAAACCTCCTACATACTAAGTTTCAAGAAAATCGATGGATCCGTTTCGAGATCGTTGATATTATGTACCAGAATTGCTTATTTAAAGGTATTAGATTATTTATTTTGATAAGATATAGAACATATAGAATATTAGATATTGATAGATCTGTAGCTGACATCATTTCTCATTCCATTGGTCATCTATGTTGCGAAGTAAATCTTTGAAAAAATATTACAATAATACGGTATAACCGACGAGGCTTATACCTATTCGTGACTTGGACTTCGAATGCAAGCAAGGTTGTAAAAGGGGACTGAAAAGGACTAAGCGAAGGTGTGGAAATAAAATGCTAGGTGTGGGTTTTTAAATGTTTGTAATTATCTTACTTATTATATTCATTTATTTACATTCTTTTAGTTATTTAATAGGCTATTAAACAGCAGCTTATCAGTACACATTCAAAATGTATTTATAATTGTTATACCTAATGAAATAAATGTATACAGATTCAGACGGTCTACGAAACTAACTGTTCATAATTTTGTAATGCGTAGCTAATATTATCGGTATGTCCTAAATATTATGGTTAAGAGGCAACCTAAAATAGTTGCATTAAATAGTTGATAAAATTGCTATTTAAAGTTAGGACAGTCATACTTTTTTCTTGATGGGTGTCTGTGCATGTGTATATAATATAAGTACAGTGAAGATTATATTGAGAATTGGGTAATTGCCTGAATCAAAAATAAATTATTTCGACGGTTCAATACAATAAAATATTAAAAAATAATCACAATTTCATTAATTGATTTTTTTAGAAATAAGTACGCTGTTTGACGCTAAAAAAACGTGACGTCACAATACACAATCTCGTACAAAATTCATAGAAAAGTGTCGTTTTACACAGTTCGAAAAAAGTATTGAATTTGACTAGTTGGCAAGCACCTAATAAATTTTCCAAGAAAGGTAGATACAATGAAAATGAACTTTTTTTGATTGAATCATTTCGACAATTTGTTCAATATCATATCAATTTTATTGTTCAGAGTATCTATAGAAGCTTTGATTTCATTTATTTCTAACTTTGTTTGATTCCTTATTTCAATAATCGCTGAATCAAGTTTTGCTAAGTGTCCCGCGGCATCTTTAATATTTTTATTAGTTGTATTTCTATCAGTCTTTGCATTCTTCAATATATTATTATCTTTTTTCAATTTTACGGTAGCTCTGTATATTTCGTCTAGTTTCTTTTTATAGTTTTGCGAACCTAACTCGTCATCTCTTTGTTTTTTTCTAAATTGAGCTTTTTCGAAAATAGCCTCCCTAATGCGGGATGGTAGAGATCTATAGCACTTAGATTTAGGTACACTAGGACTAAGAACAAATGTAGAACATATCTTTTTCTTCCCTTTCAACATTTCGTCAAGCCGTGTTGGTAAGATTTTTTCCAAGATTTTATTATAAACTAAGTGTTCTAAGGATCCCAAAAATTCTACTTGTTTGCCAAGTCTTCTTACATTGCCAAGTACTCGTAAATTATGAAGGTCATTGACAGCGACACCTACCATCAGGTTCATGAGTACTATGGCTGCTAATATTAGAAATATTAAGAAGATGACGCGGACAACAAACAATGAGGTTACATATTGGTCCGAATCACTTTCTTCGACAAGATCACCGTAGTCAAATTCCGATGTCATCATTACTATAGTTTTGACGAGGGCAGCCCAGGGCGACTCGAAGGGTGTTTGGGAATGAAACTGTATCATGAAACTTAGCGCGAACCCAATCACCAGGAATGCGAATGTTAGAAGGATCTGAAAATTAAATAATAGACTTCAAACTCTACGTACTCACTGTAAAAATTTATAGATCAGCCAACAACAATACAGTTGTCTGGCTAATCAAGGAAAATATCAGTAAAGATGTGAATAAGAACAATCATAAATTACCTTCATAACATTTGTAGATACCTTCCCAAACATCAGTACATAGTATCCCCAGTTTGGAAATCGGGATAATAGAAACATCATTTCCAGCCAAGAAAGTAGTAGAGCCGCTGTGGCAACATGTCTAGGCCAGTCCAATTCTTTATCCGTTTTAATTTGTGTGGCATATGGCAGGATTGCAGCGAGGCATACAGAACTGAACTTTATCCAAGTTTCTAACTGTAGAAAGTACCCGTTGCTTACGTTCATGTAGAGGACTTCCTAAAAATAGGAAAAAAATTTAGTTCTTATAAAAATAAATCTGTTGTGTAATACACAATTATGGAGTAATATATTTTATACTCACTTGTAACATGACTGTAACAATAGTGATGTACATAATAACAGCCCAACAGGTAGTATTAAAAATAATCGGTGCTGCAAAACCTGTGTCTTTATAAAAAAATACTGAAATAATGTACGTTGTCAATGACATTACAAAGAAAGCGTAGAATGCTAACATCGTGTAGAAAAATGGTAGGAGAGCTTTCCACTTTAAGAATAAAAAACTTTCCAGTAAGGGATGTACCAGTAGTCGCCTTTGACCATATCTATCTCCGGTGTTCAGGAGGGCATCTATGACGTTCATTTGTATATTTTCATCTTCTTTAGGCACTAAAATTTTATAATTCACAGTAACTTCACAATCTGGATCATGAAGGTTTAAATCATTCGTAGAAATGAAGGTATCAAATATATTTTCCATAAATTCAGTGGGCTTCGACAAATTGTTCATAATCATATCAATTGCGGTCGACCTACATTTATTTGGACCATGTGTGGCTCTAGATAAATCAGCGCCTTCCTTTAGGAATAGCGTAATAATGTCTCTACTGCCATAATGACTAGCTGTGTGTAGTGGAGTCCATCCCATATCATTGATGACATGGACAGTGTCTCCGTTATTTTTCATTATAATTTTTGCAATTTCCACGTTATTATGAATGGCAGCGATGTGCAAAGGTGTTGAGCCTTTCTGAAGTCCGTAAGAAGATCTTAGACTTCCATAAGAGTTTCTAGATAAAAGTATCTTGACACATGCTGGGTGATTGTTTTCTACAGCGAAATGTATGGGCCCGTATCCTTTTCTATCGTCAGCTGTTAGGTAATTGATCATTCTCCTAGTTATGATATAGTCGTGGTCTAGTAAGACTGTGAGGACATCTAGGTAACCTTTCTCTGCAGCTATATGGAAGACGTTAACTTGTCTTGATAAAGTTTTAGTTATTGAGGCTCCTTCTTCAAGAAGTCTTTTAACACATTCTAAATGACCATTAATAACTGCTTTAAATAAAGCTGTTTCTCTTCTTGTGTTAGTAGCGTCTATTACATCGTAATGTTTAGCTACATTTAATATTTCATTTAATATTTCTACATTGCCAAACATTGCTGCGAAATGTAATGGTGTATCATAATTGTTATCCTGAAAATAGAAGTGGTGACGTTAATTATAATTAATTAAATACTGTATTTAAATTGTTAAAGGATTTTCCTCAAGTTTTAATCATTCTAGTCTTATTTTAATGGAGATGTTTTATAACGTGGATAGTATGGTACATACTCTGGCTTTTACGCTGGATCCTGCTTCAATCGCGATGCTTACCCCAGGCGCCCAGCCCTCTATAATGGCTTTATAAAGAACAGTGTGTCCGTCCTTGTCTTTAACATCTATTGCTATTGGAACTTCTTTATCTTCTCCATCACAGTATCCATGGTTTGCTAATATCTAAAGAGAGTAATATTGATTATAAATTAACCTCAAGAAAGAAAGAACAGGTACTTAAATTTGATCGCCTATTGGCGAGGTTATCCAACAAATCTGGCGTAAAAGTTTTATGTGCTATGATTTCACAAAATAAAAAATATCCATTACCTGCAAATGCTCTTTAAGTTTTTTCTTGACGCACATATGCAGCGGTGTCATTCCTGCCCTATTAAGCCAGTTGACTGGCATTTTGATACCCACGAGAACCGACACTGCTTCCAAACTACCCAGTTCAACAGCCGTGTGAAGCGAAGTGTCAACTATTTTCTTGTTTTTGAATGTGAGATTCTGACTATTGGCACCAACAAGCAATGTCACTAATTCACCAAATCTGTAAAAAGTTAAAAGTTCAAATTTCGATGAGTTTCATAATATTCATCTGTAGTATTATAGGATTTTTAAAATGGAAAGAAGATTGTTTCTTCTCTGAAATTTAAATTACTTCGTTGTAGTATCAAACAGGGAGTGTGAAAACAAAGTGTTATAATTATGGTAAACGGTAGTGACATACTTCTGAGGATCAATAACTTGACCAGTATAAAACGCAGATCCAGCGACATCCAGAGGGGTTTTTCCAACAAGATCACGTGAACCTAGATCTGCGCCTGCGGCTAGAAGGAGTCGAGCACTGTGACATTGGGCGCGTGCACTCGCCGCGTGCAATGCTGACCAGCCTAGTTGAAACGTTGGTAGCTGAGAAGTGATACATGATTGAGATAATTTTTTATGAGACATGATTTTTAAAAACATTTAAAATAGTACGATATATGTACTTACATTTCGTTCGAGACTTCTGTTATGACCTTCCCTTGTGTTATCCCTCCAGTGTGTTGGTATCGCGGCATTGGTGCAGAAGTCGCATTTAACGTTGATAAATTCTATAATATCTGGATTCAAATTTTTAACTTCATTCTCAGTGGCGTCTATTATGTCGCCAGCATCTAGTCTATCTTGTAATCCTGTAAAGATCAGAAAGACAATACTTTTGAAGGTTTATCCTATTGAAATATTGACTATTGTTATATTTACGCGTGTAAGTTCTGAGTTATTTATATTTGGTTATTATAATTAATTAATAATAATACGCTCTTACCCTTAGAAAAACCAAGCAACATTGCGACTTGTTTAACATTTCCTGCCCAAGCGGCCAAGTGCAATGGAGTTCGACCAAGTCTATCCACCCTTTTTCTATTTGCTCCTGCTTTTAGCAGTACTTCCAGGGCTCCATCAGTCCTCAAGGCTGCCAAGTGACAGGCTGAAACACAGTCGATGCCACATGATGCATTAGGGTTTGCTCCGGCTTGCACCAGTCTGGTAATCAAAAAGTTTACATTTATTTTGTTACATATTAGACAGTCATTGATGACTTTTTGGTTTATCTTTCGAACTAACCTTTCAATTTCTTGTACATCCCGATGTTTAACAGCTTCTAGTAAAGATGTGTTTAGTTTTCTAAATCTAAGGCTTAGTCTGGAAATTTTTGGCAATGTAACTGCTGGTACCATGAGTAGCTTATTGTCTGATATTGAAAGATCTTCTGAAACATTGTCTCCCTCATCTGAATCGGTGGTCTTTTGAAGTTTCAGCAGTGGTTGACGGTCTCTGAAATATATGTTTGATAAGCTTACTAGTACCAGATATAGAGGCAAAATTAGAAGTATTCCTAGTAAGTCTGCCTTAATGAGTAAGAGTGTTTTTTGCATGTTATCCAAGATATACAACAAACTGCCATGTTGTATTTCAGAAATTGGGAACCTCAACTTGTTTAAACTGAAATTAAAAGAATTTCTCAATGACAAAGTGTACTATACTGTAAAAGATTATCTTGAGGGGAATCCTTATGGTCAATAATTAATTTAATTTATTTGACATTGCTTGTGTGACATTCTATAATATAATTGACATTTACTTTTTTACAATATATATCTAATTTGACATTAATTTTTTGACTTCAGTGGTATGAATAATTATAGTTTCTTTGACATTATTGTATTCTAACAACATTACAAATAATTCAATTCAATGGACCTAATTTTATTATGTAATTATTTTTATAACATATCTTTGCATGCCAAGTTAAGGCAAAATATGGAGAAACTATAAACTTTGTTAACACCTATATATTATGTACCCATGTTTGCAAATGATTAAATGAATATGAATATGAATATGAACATATTGTGTTGTAATGCACTGACAAAATGTATTTTTTTGATTACGATATATTTTAAACAGAATCTCAAAACAATGTTTCAGATCTTATTACAATGTGGGTATCACACTAGGTGTTTAGGGACAAATGCGCATTTGTTCATTAGGTAGGTTTTGGACAACTTGTCTACTAAAATACCTAGATAATATGTACCTACTTTAAAACAAATGTCATTGTGTTTTGTTTGATTCTTTAGGTTTATCAGTTTGTTTCTTTAATGTTATTTAATAATAGCAACTTACTCCGATGTATCGAAGAGGCTTACACTCCGGGGCCGATATAGTGCTCTTCGTTGGTCACATCCATTGGCAGGAGTCTCAGATACAGGCAATACGCGGCATCCCTCATTTTCCACCGAGTAGTGAGCTGGATTTAAATTAATCGTATTAATTGAAACGATCTGTAAGTCCTTCATTCTTTGTCTAGTAATATTTTCTCAATTGTTTTTATATTATTCGTTAAATTGCTGACTTGTTGGTCGAATAGTCGTTAATTCGGTTGCTAAACCATGTTTTTAGTTAGGGATTTACAAGACTATCCTGTTGTTGTAGTACAGAGTTGAAAATGGTACCCAGATTATGATAAGGACCATTTTCGTATGAAATTCTGTATCATTGCTGCCAAGAAATGGGTATCAGATTTGAAATACCTACATGTGCAACTTTTATAATCGACTTATACAAATTCATGTTGTCAATGAATATTAAAGGTACCTAAACTAGTTTTCGCATATGGTTATACAGTACATATTTGTTAAATGCTATTATATTATTTACGAACATTAATTAATGTATTCTTTATGTGTATAAATATTTGCAATGATTTCCTGTTTATCAACATCAACACGCGTTTTATGTAAACATCTATAATTAGACTATCTCGTAAGTCGAGTGCGGTGCACTATTGTCGAGTCTAAAGCAGTTGGAAACCAAGTCCGGGTAAGCAATTTTTCAATTCATGTGCTGATTCAGTAAATGAATAATAAAGTGAATATACCCTAATAATTCCGATCCACGAAACTGGGACATATTGGCAACGCATCCAGTCGCGTGGGCGTCTGAGTGAGTGACTTATACAGCGCTATAGTAATTAGTGGTGGCGCGACCACCGCTATACCACCAGAGCTGGGCACGCCGCCAGTCTGGTTGCGCAACCAAGTGGACATTTAACTGTTTGTTGGTCGCAGTGACTGGTTGCGTCGCCATGGTGTCTTGGTGAATTATAGCCCTTAATGTTGTGTTACCGATAGGTCAGTGTCAAAATCAAGACGTAGCTTATTTGTTGCTCTTTCGAATAAGTCCGAGTATGGTTTTTCTACTTTAAGTGTTTTTTTAGGCGAGAACTCAAAATTTACTTAGAAGTCGCGCTGAGGATCACTAGACTAATGAGGAAGGAAAGAGTCTACTCCGCCTTCAAAATAAACTACCTAATAAATTGTAATAGGATAAATAAACATAATATACGTAATTCGATATAACTAACAAACACAGTGGGATTATCCGTGGGTTGTGTAGATACAAAAAAAAACATTTTTAATATTTTATGTTAGAGTCAATAAGGTAAAATAACTTAGGATGCACTTTAGTTGTCATAATTTATTCATAGATGGCGCTGTATTAAAAGTGCATTATGCAATAGTATTTATTTATTTTTGAAACATAAATATTAACTAAAAGTAGGTTTTTTAAATTAGTGCACACGAGACTCACCTTCAAAGTTTGCATGTTTATCACTAAACACAGAATCTTCCGTATCACTGTGCATTATTTGTTAAAAACTAAAAAAAAATATCCAAACTAATTTGACACTTGGTTGATAAATCAATTCCCTACTTTCACTTCTCTTTTTCAAGTATTTAACTAAAGAAATCACAATAGTATCACTGTAAATTAAATGACAAATAAACTTTTATTCACTTCAACACTCATGTTTCTTACTTAGGCCAAATATGTACGTGTTTCCATTCTAGACAGGTATCAAGATAATTTGGACGACTAATATGCAAGCAGTCTCCGTGAGTATAAACTACTAAGTGACCAGTTTACAAGACAATTTTCCTTATTCTGCAAACAAACCGGTATAGTAGCAATTATTACATAAGCTGATTCATTCATAGGAGCGATAAACGAATAGACGTAATCAAATCAATTTAAATATCTGGTTCGGTTTCATCATAATATTGCGAGAAAAATCTTATTTATTGTTAGGAAATACCAATATTATCATTATGTGAATTCATTTTTTCCATGTGTTAATTCCAATTGTTATTAAATGTGCAGGGGGCACAAATATTCAAAACCACAACCATTTTCGACCAGATGTATTATGAGTACATATATTGAGATTATTGCTATATACTGAGCATTTTCTAACCATTTATGTGCAATTAAGCGGAAAAATCATCGAATGACTGCTCCCGCCTGGGTGAGGCGGGAGGGAGTGTCAGACTCTTACTGACTAAAAACCACCCCGTTCCTTCTCCTGCACGTCGAGCCGGAGCCCCGGTTACCCGTTAGGTTCTCCGTGACTACTATTTATTTGCATAAGTAGCTGACACCATTATTATATTCATTTGCTAGTTTTTTTAAATCTGCTGTGTATTCTAGCCTTTAGAGTATAATCTTAATTGGTAGTACAATTTTATTGTGTTACGTCAGGTAGGGGACTACCCGAAATTGTCCTTGTCTTTGAAAATATTCACGAATTTTTTTGCACTAAATAAGGTATTAACCGACTTTATTCGTAGATTCCCCGTAAAATCGGTGTGGTTGACAAATTATAACTGTTTCGGGGTTAGATGAGATGTGTCATCTCCATATCAATACAAAACTATATTTGTTGAGGATAGGCCTCTTTTAACGAGGGAGCGAAGTTATTATTCAACACTTGTAGGTCAGGTTTGTTATCATCTATGCTCAGTCTAAGCTCAGCACTCGGACATTGATAACACTCGACCGTAAAATCAATAAAGAAACACTTTACCTTTATATTATCAGTATGTCCAAGGACTTCACTTATTCGCACGGTCCTAGAGCATTGACCTCAGTATCTACCCTTTAACAACATTACACACCAAGATATGTATACACTTGAACCAAGTGTTTCAAAGAAAAACCTTCACACAATGCTATGGGTATGAAATTACGTAGTTACTCATATAATCATAAGAAGGTTGCCTATTGTCAAGTATGTAAAATTAATTGTGGCTATGAACAAATACTAAGTCATGAATATGTCATTGGATTGCCCGACTCTTACGTTTTTTTTGAAGTACTTCAAATATTACCTATCCCTTTGCAAAGAATATCTTTTCGGTCACCAATACGACTGTACTTAGATCAAGGGGCCTTGGGATACTCTGAGTTACGGAAATCTGAGTAATAATACGGAATCTGATCCGGGATTTTACCCGATGTATTGTGTATCATACATCACAATATGGGAATGACTATGGGAGTCATAGGGATCTTTTACCATAACTGGAGTACAATTCCAATCAGTACCTATTCGATAGTTCAATAAGTGCATGTTTGTCTGAATATTTTTATAGGCAATACAGCAATGTAAAGCTCGTCTGATGGCCTATCAAAGGCTTGATGTCATTCAGAATGGACCGTCCGCCAGGTAGGAATTTGTTAATATGTGCGAACAACAGGGAAACAGCAGTAGGATAACTAAGAACCAATCTTTGAGGGAGTATTTCTATGACTTAACAGAGATCGTTTATTCCTAAAGTTTTGTGTGGTTGTAGGACCAATTTCAAATTTAAATATAGTAAATCGGTAGAAGGTAGAAGATCGGTAAATCAATAAATGGCACACATATAAATTTAACCTTCCTAATTTGTATATTCTACAACTTAGTCAAGGATTTGTACCAGAAATGCGGGCAAAACTCCATAGTTTTGCCCGCATTTCTACTATCTATATATATATATAGGTATAGTTACTAACACTTAATCCATATTAAGTGTTAGTAACTATACCAATCGGACATTTAGAAACTAGTGGTAGACAAAATAACTTGTATAATAATTAAGGCTAGATTATAGCAATTTCCAACTCTCAGTTAGCTTATCTAACACTATAATTTTACTAAGTATTGGAGGTACCTACCTCAAATTATTCACCAAATAGACTATCGGATACTTACTTAGGTAATCGTAAATAGTAAAATTAGCCCTGAATCAAATCGGTGTTCGAAAGTTAATGATTAATATGAATAAATATACTTGGAATAAAATAGAATAGAATAAACTTTATTGTACACCATTAATTATATAGTACCTACATGCAGAAAAGGAAATGACAAACATAAATAAAAATAATAATGGGCTCAAAGACGGTCTTATCACTTGTAGTGATTTCTAACAGACAACCTTTGGGTGGACATAATGAAAAAGAAATATTTCATCATCATCATCATCAGAAGCATCATAATGATACGATTAGGAAAAAAGAGTAGTTTTGATTAAGAAAATTATCCAATTAATTTAGCAAGAGAGCTTTAAATAAAATGGGCCTTCTGCAGCATCACCGGATAGTATTATGAAATGTACCGTCACGGGTGACTGGAACACAGAGGCATCTTAATATTCCATCAATACAGGAATTCCACTGCTATCCAATACCTATCCAATCTTGGAAAAGTCCGTGGCATAAATACCTTTGGGGGCCAGGTGTTGCAACATGCAATCATATCGAAGAAAGAATAGGGATGAAAATTGATCGAAAGCTGTTTTGTTCAATTAAAATCTTGATTTATCAAAGCTGTAATGAGTTGTTTGCTGTAAAATACTGGGGCCTTGTTGGTTAAAAGGTTGTAGAGGAGAATATGCTGCAGGATTCGATTTTTTTAACGTTGCCCCACACTAGGATCTTCTCCTATGTCGTGGGTGCGTTTACAAACATACAAGTTCACATACACATGACACCCAGACCCAGAGCAACAATCTGTGGTTCGCACAATGAGTGTGATCTTTGTGTGATGACAACACTTTGTGTGATCCACAAATTGTTGTTTCGGGTCTGGGTGTCATTGTGTATGTGAATTGGTTTATCATAATAATAAATATGCAAGTGATATTCAACCATGTCGAAGCAATTTTACGGTTGACTTTAAAAGTAATTTTCTTAAAGTCGGAAGTCAAAATATTGGCTAGGTTAAATTTATCGTAACGTTTCGTCTAATATATTAGCAATGTGGACGTATAACTCCGGCTCGTGCATGCACTCCATCCATCTATCCGTAGGCATTCCCCATCTCCGCAGCGTGGCATGAATTTTAAAAACAATAAACTTACTAGTTTGGAAAACATTTCTATTTCTGGTGTTCCGTATATAGTACTAAATAAATTGCGGAAACGTTTTGGCATACATGTCCATCTTTTACGAGGCAGGCTGTTGAGGTGTACCTAAAACTGTAGTGGAATATCTGCATTCAGTTGACGCTGTAACAAAGACCCACAAAATTACAGGTTCCAATGAGGTTGATTTTTTAGAAATGTTATGTCGGTGGAGACCTATCACTCTCTATTTATACAGGTTTATACCCACCCTCGCTGTTTGGTCAAATTCTTCATCTTTTATGCTACCATGGTCTTGTTTGACCTCTATGTCTAAGTTTTGTAGCAAAACTAATACGCGCAACAACTAGTTCGATGATGTGTGGATAGATGGCGCTATACTTATATCACAAAGGAGTAGGAACAGGGTGGTTTTTAGTCATTAAGAGTCTGACACTCCCTCTTGCCTCACTCGGGCGGGAGAAGTCATTGGATTTTCCTCCTGAAAAAGAATCTTCTGCAAAGGTATCAAGTCAAAGTCAACACATTATTTCAATTAGACCAAAAATAAACGTCTGAATGACTTTCTCTTTCCAGGGACCACTTCACTTGGTCAATAGCTTCTTTATTAGTTAAACGTTTAGTCTTTTTTCCTGTGTAAGGATTTTTTCCTGTGTAAGGATTTTCCTGATACCCTAAGGATCTCTAACCAAAATGTTTCCAAGCCCATACGTCGAGAACTAACGCTGGCGTCGTGTGATCGATTATTTAGAAGCGGTGAGGAATTATTAGCTCAGCTTGTATACTTGAGCTCAAGTAAATTAAAAGTGAACATTTCAATTTAGAAAATGGTTTACGTTAAGTAACGTAGTGACGATGCTTTTGAAGAATTTTTATCATAAGTAAATCTTAATAGCACTTTTGTTTTTAGGCATTCGATATGTAGGAAGCTATTTTAGACTACTTTGATCCCTTTGAAACAAGCGTTGTAAATGTGGCAAATGGAGACTAAAATTTGTCCTAATGAGAAGTGGCATTTTAAAATTGATTAACCCAATAATTTATTTTAGGGATAAATGCTAGTCATCCTTAGGTCAGCGTAATGCTCGTCCTAAACCACTAGACAAACTATTCCTCTTAAAGAAACTTAAACCTAAAACCAGATTATACTTGTCCTACGACAGATAGGTTTAGGGATAGCCGATAGCCGGCATGCGGGTGCCATTGTGCACGATGTAGCCACAATAACCGTCAGATATTACCTCCATCTTCCGTTTATTAAGAGACGTCGATGAAAGGCCCTAACGCCCAACTTCGGACTAAACCGACTAAGTTTCAAGTTAGCGGGCCTTCAAAACGTTTGGTTTAGTAATAGGGTGTGTGAGCGTCGCGTTTTTTCTAAAAGAAAGGCTGCTGAATTTTTTTAAGTAATATTTTTGGGTCATACAATATTAACATCGTTTTATTTTTTAAGGTGTGTTTCTTTATTGCCTAATATATAGTAGTTCAAAAACTAGAGAGTAAAAGTTAAAATAAGTCGAAACTGCTGCATCAGGAAATGAAACATCTCTTTATCAGCAGTCCATCTATTCGTCGCTTTATTATTCGATTGCATAACAACCATAAGGAGAAGAACAATGATAAAAAAACTGCAAACAGGAAAGTAGTTTTTGTACAATCCGTTGCCTAAATATTGTCTTTACTGTCTATAAAATGCTGGTGACGCGCCCGCGCAC